GACAAATTATTTTGGTTACTTTTTTAATTTTTTTCATATCCATCATTAGGTTCCAGAATCGATGGGGCTGGGTGTGGAATGTTTAAAGAGAAGGGGTTGAGAGTGTTGGATGGGAATAAATTTAGAATGTTAGTTATGAATTTTATATTTTTTAAGAAAATCATTTTTTTTATTTTGTAAAAAATATATTTTGATCCACCAAAATGAAAAGATTGGAGCCATGTGCCAAATACACCCAAAGTGGAAAATAATTTTCTTGGACCCTTCAAAGTTTATCCTCCCCTTTTAGTACTTATTATAGTTCTTGTTCTTTCGCCTTCATATTCTAAGAATGTTGATTATGAATTCAACAGAATTTAGTAGATTTATTTTAAATTTTATATTTATTTTTAAAAAATTGAATATGTATACGTTAATTAATTTAGATTTGAATAACTTAAAAATATTAAAAGTTACAGCACATAAGCTTTAAATTTTGATTTCGCTCTATTTCCTTATATTCGCTATTCTAAGCAGGAAAAAACACACCACATATATATTTAAGAGAAAATATTACGGATTTTAAATTTACTTTTAAAATATTATTGCTTATAACGGTTTAATTACGGGTTATAACATATCACTTTTTATTTATAAACAATTTATTTTTACTTTATTAAATAATTAGTCTTTTATAATTTTATTTTTATTATTAAATGATATAAATAAAGAATCTACCATAATTATCTCTTACACATCATCAAACATACCAAATAATAATGGAGTACCAAAATATAACATTATTCATTTACAAAAAAAAGCCAGAATGGAGTATACACATTTCATACATTTTTAGTCACACTTTTCATACATATTTCATGCTAACATTATAACTATTTCACCTCATAAGTCATAATTTTTTCACAGCAGAATCATACCAATATAATACAAAAATAATACAAAGTTTAACAATTACTTGTCATTAATTAGGTAAACACTATACGGAATTCATTCCAATATAATTTCAAAATCGTACAAAAATGGTATAACCAGTAAACCATTTACAATTAAATTTTATTTATTTACTTTTTACCAAAAACCTTAAATTAAAAAAATTTCATATTAAAATCTATACCAATTTCAAACAAATTTTATGTAATTTCCAAAAAAGAATGTTCAAATCAAATACATCATAATGAAATTACATTATACACAAACAAAATTTGAAAATTTTCTTTCCAGTATCACTATAATTAATTTATTTTTTTACGTTTGATTAGTATAACACTATAAATAAAAAATCGCAAAAAGAACACTAACCTGAAGGATCTCATCTACCACCATGCTCTATTAATATTATTAAGAAGCCGTCCATTACAAGTAAACAAAAATTATTGAATAAAAACGAATTGGAACTAGTTGAAAGTGACGACTAATTACAGAAAAAATTGAGAAGAGAGAGATCCGTTTGAACAAAAGAAAAAAAAAAGTTTTGAACGAAATTTAACTGCATTGAATTAAAAAAGGAAAACAAATATTTCATTTTTTATGAATCTCCTAGTTTTATGGCGCATACTAATTATCATTAATGAATTCAAATTAATTACTAATAAATATCCCTTTTTTACCTTATCTATTTTTCAAACAAAATGATTTTTATTGTTATTTTAAATCATTTTTTTATTTTAATAAAATATTAGAACCTGAAATTTTTTATTGTTATAACTTGAAAAAAAAAATAATATCATAATTTATAATTATCAGTCATATATGTCAATTATAAAATTTTCACAACATAAAATTAATATTTTATGAAACCTGCACACTCTAATTTTCATAACATAATTGTTGATTTCCACCCAGAGTTGAAACTACCGTGCAGTAAGGCGGAACCAGCATACTGTCAGAGGTTCATTGGAACCTCTTCACAAGAAAATAATACTATTTATACATGATTAAAATTATTTTTTATATATATATAGTAGATTTCGAACCCCCTTTAATTAGTTCGTAGTTTACTTTTTCACATTTTGAATTTCCTTATTAAAAGTTCTAACTCCGCCACCGATGATACTTGCCAATTGTCATAGTTTCTACCATTGAGTTATTTGACAAAATCAAAAGCAAGCTATGCAATATCCTATCAGAAAAATTTCATCATTGCTATGTATGGATTTTAATTATGAATAATTAGCTGGGGGAGCTGGGAATTGAAAGCTAATTTTGAGTTTATTAAAATGATTGACGTGTTGATTTTCAACCTGAGTTGGTAGGTGAAAGCATAGTGCCACTGCCACCATAAAAAAAAATGCAGCACTAAGTAGTGCAAGAAATTAAGTTAATTAAATACTTTTAGAAACTTCTTATTGGAGGAGAAAAATATTACACCCGTGCGATAATGCTTAGTTATATTCAAAATGCACTCCTTTAAAATTCAACATTTATTTTATTTATTATGTATTTTTTAGCAAATGATCAAGAGAGATTTATTATTTACTTCATACTATTCTTATCATTAATTAATTATGTAAAATATTAATAGTCAAATTTATATTTTTACAACATAATTAATAAGATTAGTTCAAAAAAATAAATTTCTAATAAACGTTTGGTTTTTCACCCATTATCCGTAGGTATAGCAATGGGGCGGACGGATGCAGAGCGGAGTGGGTTTAAGACTACGCGGGGCAGGATGAATTTAAGGTTGTGTGGGGCGGGTTGAAGTGTTTTTTTTTAAAAACTAATGTGGGGCGGGGCGGGTTGCGTGTATATGTGATTTTATGCGGGTAAACAAACTTAATTTTAACTTTTTACATGTTATAAGAGTGATAGAACATTATTTATAGTAATATAATATCTTTAAAGCTACTAAAGTATTGAAGATATTAAATGAAAATGGTTCAATAAAAAATACTACGATTTCTTACATGTTTCTCAATTGACCTCTAAAAATAATTTTTTAAGTCATTATCTATTACATTAATACAACTTGATAAAAAAATGAATTTATTTTTATGAATTTTATTTTTTGTATCAAACTTAACTAGAAAAAAGAAAATACTAAAAAAATTATGTGGGACAGGTTCATGCGGGGCGAAAATGAAAAAGGTTGTTATGCGGGGCGGATTAAAAATTTTGTGGGTTAAGCTCAACCCGCCCCGCACCACCCCATTGCCATCCTTTGTTGTCCGGAGCCCGTCCCGACTAAATTCGGATTGTGCACTGCAACTCCCAACATGATTTTATTCGTACATAGGGCTCGAACCCAAAACCTCTGGTTAAGAGTTGAACAGTCTCACCACTGCACCACAACCCATGTTGATCTCTAATAAATATTTGGAAGTTTTGACCAAAATAAGCTATTTTAAAAACCAATTCACCAAACTAATACGCTTTTTAAATTTTTTACAAAAGTAGTATAAACGTACTTCATGGTAACGTTTTAGGTTATTTTTATTTTAAAAATTCAATGGACAAAAACTGACGAAGTTGACGACGTTAAATGAATCAATGTTACTGTGAGTAACGTTTTAGGTGTAAAACGTTACTCACGATAACGTTTATTGAGAATCCAATCACTTCAACCCTGCAAATGCATAATCAAATCCTGCAAATTTAAAACGTTACTATTTTACTAAGAATCCAATCATGGGTCTTCGACTTCTGCAAATTTAGAATAAATCCTGCAAATTTAGCTATAAAACGTTACTTTACCTCAAAAACGTGTCTGTCAGTTACAACACTCTGTTAAAGTCATATTCCTCCATTTTTTAAACTGACCACGTATGATTATAAAATAAATGTTGTTGTAAGGAATGTTTTGCATATTCCAACAATATTCAACAAAACTTTACTTGTGTTGTCCATTGTTATAATAATATTCACAAAACTTCATCAGGTATGAATTAAATAAGTCAAGTTTATCATATTATTAAGAGATATTTTAAAATAATATTAATAAATTAAAAAAATAATTTTAAAGCTATAGTAAGAACTTAACATAATATGAGTAACATTTTATAGCTAAATTTGTAGGATTTATTCTAAATTTGCAAGAGTCGAAGACCTGTGATTGGATTCTTAGGAAAATAGTAACGTTTTAGGTAACGTTTTAAATTTGCAGGATTTGATTCTGCAGTTGCAGGGTTGACGTGATTGGATTCTCAATAAACGTTATTGTGAGTAATGTTTTACACCTAAAACATTACTCACAGTAACGTTTATTCATTTAACGTCGTCAGCTCCGTCAGTTTTTGTCCGTTGAATTTTTAAAATAAAAATAACCTAAAACGTTACCATGAAGTACGTTTATACTACTTTTGTAAAAAATTTAAAAAGTGTATTAATTTGGTGAATTGATTTTTAAAATAACTTATTTTGGTCAATGCTTCAAATATTTGCAATGCCAAGTAAAATGAAACAAAGGAGACTAAAAAGAATAGAATAGTTTAGTTGGTTGACAATCTGAACTCTCACTTTATTGGTGAAGGTTTGATTTATGTAATCTCCTCCCCATTTTCCCTTCCCTTCCCTGTCCCAATTTTAAAAAGAAAAAAAGAATGGACATAGTCAACGTACCCACTAGGCCACTACTAGTTAAACTCTACTAATATTAAATAATTTTTTTTGCACATAATAAAACAAATAATCTGGTATCAAAACAATGATCTTCACTCCTATATATAATCGTCCATCACCTTTCAACAAGACTACGAAGAGTTTCATTAATTTCCTTGTGAGACCTAAAATTTTATCCACTCATTTTTGTGTATATTCATGGCTATCTCAAAAAAGCTTGTTAAGCCCCTTTCTCTTTTGTTCCTAATTTACATAGTAATTGTCGCATCACCTTGCGTTGATGCGGCAATCACATGTAGCTCGGTGTTCAACGGCCTAATCCCGTGCCTTAGCTACGTAGTGAACGGTGGCAAGGTGCCACCGACTTGTTGTAGAGGGATCAAGTCCCTCTACAGTATCGCCAAAACAACGCGGACCGCCAAGGTGTTTGCTCGTGCTTGAAAATGGCTGCCTCAAGTGTTAGTGGTATCGATTTCAAGAATGCTGCTGCCCTCCCAGGAAAATGTGGGGTGAAAAATATTCCCTTCAAGATTAGCCCTAAAGTTGATTGCTCAAAGGTGAGATGAAGGACGAATTATTATGCATACAATATAAATGAGAATAAGAGTTATGTTGTCTCTAATCATAAAATTGGAACATAATCTATCTATTAAGTACTACTACGTTTTCGTGATTGTCTTTAATTTGATCCTTAATAATTGTATTGTGTCACCGATATCACACTGTTACGTCGATCAATAATGATCGATAGATCAATCAATTATGTATTTTGTTATTTGGAGGTATGAATTCAAACTTGGAAAAAACAAAATATAGCATAAGCTCTCATCTTTCAGTAGTTATAACTTCGTCGATTCTATTTTATGTGACGAGATTCAGATATGAGGATCAAATTAATAATTGTTTATATGAATTCGAATAATAAATCTTAAGTTCTTTGTTACGATAAAATGTACATATTAAGAAATACATTAAAAAATATTATTAATCACAATATATAGTTACCGCCTAATACCGGTCAAATATATGAACTAGAAGATACATTGGAGGGGAAATTATTGAGCTAGTGCTAGTCCCTCTATGTACTAGCTAACCCCACTACAGACTAATGGAATATTGATAATTGAGAAGTATATACTTGACTAAAATATATTTTTAACACCCCATCCTCTTGGATATCTATTTAATATAAATAGTACGTCTTAAAATGTCACTATAAAAAATCTAATGTAAAATATAGAAATCCATATATAAAAAGACAGAGAGAGGTGATAATACAAAATACAAAAAGAGAGGAGGGAGATGGATTCAGAGGATAAAATCTAAATGCATGTATGAATACAATAATACAGTCGCTTGACACATTAAAAAATATATAAATACAAATAAAGAAAGATAGAAATACAAAATATACACACTGAGACTATATGAACCTAAATATACATATGAATATATCAAATACAATCGCTCGACACTTTAAAAAATAAAAAATGAATACAGAAGGAGAAAGAGGTGAAAATACAAAATATAGAAGAGGGGAGCGGGGGGGGGGGAAGGAAAGAGAAAGAGGGAGAAAGCCGAGCAAAATTGAGGCAAGAAGCGAGACTTGTCTTTTCTTTTTAAAAATAATTGGACCACACATCTATTTGAACATATTTTGAAAGAAAACAAAATTTTATGGTTTCAATAAAAGAATAAGGAGATAAATTAAATTCAGCAATAATTTATCCATGTGTTAGCTAGTCCTTCGAAAAATTAATCAAAAAATTGAATTTTTTCCTCTTCCAATATTATGATGCATACACAAATTAGTAGTAGTATACGTGATGAGGTGAAAGGATTTGGTGGTGGATGTAGTGTGCCATCAGAGTGTTCTCGTGGGATTAAATTTGTCCTCAATATTACATATTTTTCTCTCAATAACAATATATAATATTCATTTTCATTTCAATTTATATGATATTATTTAAATGAACATGAAATTTAGGAAAATAATAGAGATATTTTATATTTGTAATACAAAATAAGATTAGAAAATCTTACACTTATATTCTCGAATAAAATATTCAAGAGGATACTCCATACAATAAAAGCAAAAGAATCAAACACAACTCTTATAGTCAGTACTAAAAATATGTGAATTCCCTAAAGACATTCATATTAAAATGTCGTCTTTTATTTCTTTAATTGAAAAAATAATTAAAAAATAAAATAATAAGTACAAAAATGAATAGTAACCTCAAGTAAAGATTAGTACAATTCAATCTAACATTTTCTTGTATCTTAGCTTTTATTGTCGGATGAACAATATTTATGGTTGATATTGATAAAAAATAAAAGGACCAATGACCATATGTACAATTAAGCCATGAATATTGGTCGACAATTCTTGATTCTACTATAAAATTAAATACGTTTGATCTATAATAATCATTCATCGAAAATATTTTTGACGAAAAAACGTTTATGATCAAATTCATCGGTGAAAAATACATATGTTTCTCATTTTATTTGAAACCTACTATATCAACTGGTTTTATACTTCACATGTTTGACTTGTCAACCTTTGGTTCATATATAAATCTATATATACATTTGAGTAGGAAATCACAACCATTTCCACAATGCTAAACAAGCAACTATTTCCTTTGCTTCTCATCTGCATCGCGGTCGCCGTGTCCACGACCACCGGAGCATCTAATACAGCTGCTGAGGATGCAATTCTTACGTGCAACATGGTGTATAGTAGCCTCGAACCATGTCTTGGCTACGTGTTAGGTGGTGAGTTAACTGTATCACCAGAGTGTTGTAGTGGAATTAAATCTATCCTCAACGCTGAACGTACAAGAGCTGACCGCGAGAGAACTTGTACTTGCATAAAGAGTGTTGGTTCAACCTCTACCGCAATTCCAATTAGCCGTGCTGCTCAACTCCCTGGATTATGTAAGGCTAATATTTCTTTCAAGATTAGTCCAGATGTTGACTGCTCTAAGACCATATAAGAATTTTTTTTTTTAAATTTTTTTTTAGCCATTTTATTTATCATGTTATTTTTCAATGTATAATGAGATATATTGAATATGTTTGTGTTAGTGAGTGTGGGATCATTGATGTCCCTTTATTTCCAAGATTCTATATATATTATATAATATATAAACTTGAATGAGGTTTGGATTATTGTTAATCTTTTCTTTCTTAATTTATTGATATATATATATATATATAATTGATAATAGAATTTGATCTAAGAAACAAATGATACACATGATAGGTTTGCAATACATAATTATTGTGCATAGAGTATAAACACATGCATATACATATATCAGTGTTATTTCTATAGTGATGCATCATACATTATTCGAAGAAAAAAATTGATAACAGTATACATGTAACATGTATCATGATTTCGTAATTTATACACAAACTTTAAAGTGTATTTAACAATGAAAGAGTTACCTTCTTGTTTGAATCACCTTCGATCATACATTTACCTTTTTTTATAAATGTATTTTTTGTATCTAACTTTGAATTTTTTTTCCTTTCAAGTAATTCTTCAGTCAATTGTTGAAATTTAATGGATTCATTGTCGTGTTCTAGAGAAATACAAAAATCAAATGATGTTGGTTAGGTGGTAACTTTGAATAGACCTCTTTCGAGTAGAATTTCCATTTGCCATTGATGAACAAGAAAAAAGATTGATATAAACCCTATTATTCTGGACTATATGCTAATTAATTAAATGTATCTTTTTATGGTTGCTCTTAAACATGGTATTATATTATGAGTAAATTTTAGGAATAGCACATAAAAATCATATTAGCGCTCTACAAGTACAATTTTGCTATTTGAGCTTCATAGCAAACCACCTGATTTGTATAAATCGCAGTGATTTGTATAAATCGGGCATTTGTGACTATGAAAATTGTGTTTGTATATGTATATGTTCTTTGTGTTAGACTAGAGTGGCAAGAGAGATTAGGAGAGAGGTGAGGGAGAGAGGCGAATTGTATATGTATATCAATTAGATAATTATATATATGTAACAACTATGTATATGTATCAATGATTGTGTTTGTATATCTGCATAAAATTTGAATTTGTATACAATTGAATCGAGTTAATATACAATTGAATCTAGTTAAAACATTTGTATTTGTATATCAAATCTCTCTCTCGCTTTATACAAACTCAAATTGTACATTGCATTTGTACAATTTGTGTTTGTATGAAGCAAGAGAGAGAGAAAAAAAAACAAAAGAAAACTGGGCAGGAAAATGCTTGTATTAGTATAATTATAAGTGTATATGACAGAGAAATATGTATTTGGTATTTGTATATACAATATCTCTCGGACTCTCGCTTTATACAAATACAAAAACAATTTATACATTTGTGTTTGTATAAATGTGAGAGAAGCGAGGGAGAAATTGAGAGTGGCGAGCAAGATTCAAGGGAGAGAAGCGAGAATGGCAATGTGTTAGCTACGAATTGGAATTAAATGAAATTGTAGCTATAACATTTATTTTGAATTAATAGTTTGTTATAATGCACACTTTTCCCTTATATTATTATGGATTATATGAAAATTAATTTAATGTGGAACAAAAAGAAATAAATAAAATAGAAAACGTATATATATATATATATATATATATATATATATATATATAAGTTAAAAATAGGAAAATAAATATTTTATAGAGAATGAAATAAAAATAATTAAAATATATAATTTTCAATGTTAATAATTGTACACAACAACAAAAACAAAAAAAAAAAAAACATTACCTTGTGAAATTTCACAAGTGGAGTTTGGGAGGGTAGACTACGTAGACCTTATCACTATCTCGTGGAGGTAAAAGCAGTATTTTTGAAAGACTCTTGGTTCAAGTGTAGCATTTTCAAATATAAAGAAGAAGAAAATAATGATGAAAACATAACAACTTATAAAAGAGACAGTATAAATCTTAAAAGAAAAAATATATAAACAACAACAAAATAGTGCAGTGGCCAAAACCTAGTAAACAGATGATGAAAAATATCGAAAAGTATAACTAAGAGAATACAGTTAGGCCTTATGTCCCCCTCTCTTGTAATTATTATATTATTAATAAGCAAGACATTTTTTGGAAGAAAAAAAAAACTAGTACAGCGACAAACACTAACAAAGTAAGACAACACTCCACTACTTACTAATCTTCTACCCTAATACGCGACCTTCAAACACTCATATAAGGTCATATCCTTAGTAATATGAAGTTGTGGGATGTTATGTCTAATCACCGCTCTCCAATATTTTTTCGTCCTACTTTTATCTCTCCTCATACTTACATTCAACCTCTTGCACCTCCTCACTAGAATTCTATGCATCTTCGACCGCTTCGCATGTCCAAACCAACTCTGTCCCGTATAACAAAGTTGGTCTAATCACCACTCTATAGAACATATCTTTAAGTTTTAGTGATACAAGACTCCAGAGGCTAGTCTCCAGTTTATCCATGTTGCACCAATACAAACTAATTATAAAATGTCCAATTAAAATAGGATACGTGTCCATATTGATCAGAATTTTAATTTCTTTTTCATCTTTCACCTGCTTCCAAGAGAATGATCACATTCCATTTGTCACCTCATCACCAAATTAAAGGATGTATTTATTATACTTTAAACTAACTTTGAGTAATAATATATGATCCCAATAAAAATAGAGTGTGTTCCTGAAATTTCAGTCATTGTTCAGAAGAGTTCTTATATCCTTTTCCTATATATTTCTTAATCAAAATTATCATGTACGTATTTACGTGAAAGTCATATAGTTCTACAACCTTGAATAGTTAATAGGATTTCATAAATTATTTACGTCTACAATCTCCTATAGGTAAAGTTCCTTATACCATGGACATGTTCGGTAGGAGAGGGAAAATGTTTTTCTAGAAAATATTTTTAAATAAATAAGTGATTTTTTTTTTTTTTTTTAGTGTTTGATAAGTATCAAAAATGAATTTATAACCTAAAATAGATTGGATTCCAATACATCTATATAGATATGGATCAAAAATGGTCCTAACGCACTTTTAACTCTTTTTTGTTGTTAATGGTGTACGTTAGGCTTTAATTTTAATGTCAATAGTTGTATAGTACTCATCTTCATCTGCTGGCCGATAGTTTCCCAATTTATTTTAGTTTTAATACTTTGTTGTAGTGATCCTACCATCTTCATCTGATAAGAAATATTATAATCGGATCAAATCAAATTAAAATTACAAATTCCATTTTTATAAAAATGCAGTTTATTTATAAATTTAATTTTTAAAATGCCACTTAAGATAATCGTTTTTCCAAACTGTCAATTTATCTCCATTAATAACATAGAACACACGTATCTCACATTTTAGATACGCGTTTTACATAATCAAAGATTGGTATCCTCGAAATGGGAAAAAAAAAAAGTTTTGATGTAGTATTTACGTGTTTTGAACAGTCAATTTCATTTCTCCAGAAGAATTCATTTGATTACTTATCATTTCGATATTCATTTTCAAAGAATTCCTCACACACACGTAGCACACACATCAATCAGCAATTCGACGTACACTACACTAAAAATGATTTTTAGCGGTAATTAATGAACGATAATGGCTTAATTTTCACTAAATATATTCTTTTAGAGGCAAATACTATTAACAATTACATTTTAGCATTCTTTGTAAATTCCACTAATAAAGCTTATTCTAGCGACATTGAATTTAATTAATGACAATTAACGAATGCTGGTAAGACTTTAGCACTCTATATTAATGTACATATATATTTATTATCGCTAAAAACTATTTTTATTTGTGTGATATATCATCATATGTCATGGAAATATATGTTTTTCAGAAAAGAGAAACCTTAAAGTAACCTTTTTTCAAAAACTTCCATTTTTTTTTTTATGATGAAACCTACTATATCAACTACTTTTGTGCTTCACATTTTTGACTCCATTTGTGTTGGTGGGCCAAAAACCTTTAATTGGTGTCTTGATATGGGGGCCAACTTGACTTTGTCAACCTTTGATTCATATATAGCTATATCTATATTTATATACATTTGATAAGGATATATCACACATCGCTTACCATATCCACAATGCTAAACAAACAATTATTTCCTTTGCTTCTCATCTGCGTCGTGGTGGCTACAGCCACCACGACAGCAGCATCTACTACAGCTGTCATGTGCAACTTGGTATATAGTAGCCTCAAATCATGTCTTGGCTACGTATTAGGTGGTGGACTAAGTACTGTGCCATCAAAGTGTTGTAGTGGAATTAAATTTGTCCTCAACGCTACACGTACAACAGCTGACCGTCAGAACCTTTGCAAATGCATAAAGAGTATTGCTTCAAGCTCTATTACAGTTCCAATCAGTCGTCTTGCTAAACTCCCTGGAATGTGTATGGCCAATGTTCCTTTCAAAATTTGTCCAAATGCTGACTGCTCTAAGATCAAATAAAACACCTTTTTTTAGTGCATAATGAGATTGAATATGCATGTTTGTGTTAGTGAGAGTAAGAATTCAATTTATATATATATATATATATATATATATATATATAAGTGACGATAAGCACACACCTCATGATCAACATGTGTGCTTATTGGAATTGTTAGTTGAATTAGAGGGTATATATGTTAATTAAGGCTTTTCATTTTATAACTTTATAATTTGTGTGCCTTTTTTCCTTATGAATGAAAAAATATTATATTCGTAGTTTATTTCTTCTTTTTCTTTTTTTACGTCGGGTCCACATTCATTTATTTCAGACTTTATTGGCAAGTGTCAACATATATACTAGAACCGTCAATATGGGCTATGTTTGTTGGGCCGATCTGACCTAGTTTGTGATTTAATAGGGATGTGCTAAGATATTTTGAGCCCATTTAAGAAATCATTTTTATCCCGATTTGAATAAGTCTGTTGATTTGTTAAACTTGGAAATATGGATAGGTCCGATCCGTGGGCCAAACAAAATTAAGTAAGAAATAAAAAATGAAATATAGTATTAAAAATAACAAGAGTCCAAACTCAAAATTTATTTAAAGTTTTAATTATTAAAATTTAAATACAAATTATGTTTATAAAATATATACAACATAAAATAAAAATTCCCTAAAATTCTAGGGAATCACTACGTAGGCCGTATCATATTTTTTGTGTTTTATTATGATCATTAGAAATTAGGTTAATATTTCTATTTAGCTATTTATACTTTTGCTTGAAATCAAACTTAATAAATATTATAAAGATAATTTTATTTGTGGATTTAATTAACAAGTAGTTATACTAACACCATATAATATTGTCTTGTCTATATTTATAATAATATTTTTAAATTATAATTTGATTTAAAAAACTATCAAAATATACTTTTTTTAAAAAAGGAATTAGCTCAACATAACCCGTAATCCACATACTTATGGATTGGACTGACTGTTTTCTGACCCAAAAAAAATCAGCCCAACGAATCTGTTAAATTTCAAAATCCGTATAAATTAGCCCGAATTGAATGGTCTAGCTCATGCAGATCTAATATATACGCACGGAGTAGACTAGCAGTCTTTGATGCTTATGTTATCATCACCATGTGGGTTCCATAGAAACTTACAATATTACAAGGCCAAACACATATGCAGACCTTTAAATTTGTCCTTAAATTTCATTTTGGCACTCTAACTCAATCTTGTTCCATTTTAACCCTTCAACTTTAATTTTTATGTTCCATTTTGGCACTTCTAAGTGATGTGGCAGAGTGTGTGCATTACACTTTCTCTAAGAGAGTGAAAGACAAATAAAAATAATTTCTTTAAAAAAATAATAAAAGATTGCCCTTTAACTCTATTTCTTTTATGTAACACAAAATACTAATTTTATGATTTCTTTATTTCTATATATGTTATTCAACTGCAATTTTGCATTTTAAAAATCGGCGTCATTCGTTAGTTATTGTAAAAAATTAAAATTGACGGATGATCATTGATTTTTTTGTTATGAAAGAAAGTAACAATTTCTTTTTAAGAGTTTTCCTATATTTTTGCGTGAAAAATAACCGACGAAAGTGCGCCAATTTTCTTTCTTAAGAAAATCAATGATAACCCAACGAAGTCTATCAAGTATCAACATTTTTTTATAGTGTTATTAATTAGCAATGAACATGAGTTTTTTTTTCCTCGTATTTAGTTGAATGAAAAATTAGAAAGTTGATATTTGAGTTAGTCCAAATAGACTAGATATGAAAAAAAATAAAAATATGTGGTGTTATTTAATTTAATTAATTAATTTAAAAAAGAAAACCAACACACTTTCGTCGATTATTTTTTCACACAATAATATACAGAAACTCTAAAAAATTATTTTTTTTAAAAAAATGATGTTCATCCATTATTATTTTATTTTTTTCAAAAAAAAGATATGTCATTGATTTTTAAAATGAAAAAGCGGAAATGAAGAACATAAATAAAAATAAATAAATCATAAATTCAGTATTTTGTGTTTAAATGATACAATATAAAATTGAGTTGAAGGATTAAAATGGAACAAGACTAAGTTAGCATGACAAAATGAAAAATGGGGGCAAGTTAGAGGAATTGTGTATGTGTTTTTAATTGATTTTTGTGTCATGGCATGACATGTGAAGTACACACATCCCACTTTGTTGATTCTTTGGAAAGAAGTGTCAAAATGGAACATAAAAATTGGAGTTGAAGGGTTAAAATGGAACAAGGTTGAGTTGGAGTGTCAAAATGAAATTTGAGGACAAGTTTAAAAGTCTGCATATGTGTTTGACCATATTACTAACTATTTAAATTCAAATTGTCCTATATTTGAGGGAATGATATTCATTTTATTTGTCCAGTTTTAAAATTTAAAAGATAATTTATTAGTTTATTCTTAATTTATTTTTATTAATAGTTATTTTTTAAAATATTAAATTTATTACATTCAAAGAATGATATAGTAAACTGTCATTTTATTTATTATTTTATTAAGGTCTATGCAAAGTCAATACTAGACATATAGTATGGACAAAGGGAAGTATTTATTCAAAATCTTAACTTTTCATGTTATTAGTCGGGCAAAGGGAAGTATTTATTCAAAATCGTAACTTTTCATGTTATTAGAGGACTAATATTCCTTTTATTTTAATTTGTTTGTCTGATTTTAACTTGATAAAGAATTTAAGAAAATAAAAAATATTTTTGTATCTTCTAATCTTTAACTAATAATATGTAGAATATATCAAAATAATCTTTAATTTTGTATTCTTAAACATGTTATGTAGAAAATTAGAATTAAGAAGTTATCAAAAAGAAAAAGAGACATTTCCTTTTTAACATACTAAAAGGAGAGTAAACCAAACGAATTAAAATAGGGGAGTAATTCTTCATTCTTTATCTAAAGCTCCAATAAAAGACATAATAATTTCGAGAATAACAAAATTCATTTCTAATTATTATAAAATATTAACTTAAGGTCGATGTTGATCCCCTGCACATCACGGGCTCCTCCTAACTAGTATATATATAAACTAGAATATATAATTTCACATTTGGTCACTTAATTCTTTTATTATATTCGTATTAAATATGAGCAAAATAAATATTTTATTCATTTTGACGCATTCATATTTGATCGACCCACTATTAAAGATGGTAACATTAAGAAAAACATGTTAACAAAAATTAAGAGAGATCAAAGGTGTTTTAGAAAATATTAGAGATGATATTAACAACAAATTTTAACAGATTTTATCATCTCAATGTCTGGAACAAGCCGAGGTGCATTTCATATTTGAGTCATAATTTCTACATAGTGCTCACAAGAAAATGTATAGATACTAACAAATTAAAGATAATCTTTATGAGATGATAGAATTAAAGATTTTAAATTCTAGTTCTAGTAAGGAGAAAAAAATCCTATTAATTAGGGAGTGGTTCCTTACGAGATGTTCTGTCTAATCGCCTCTTTTCAAATTTTTTTGGCCTACATTTACCTCTTCTCATGCCTATTACATCCAACCTCTCACACCTCCTCACTGGACATCTACACATCTTCGACCGCTTCACATGATCAACTTTTTCCCATACAACAATGTCAGTCTAATCACCACTTTACAGAATATATCTTTAAATTTTGATGGCACTTTTTTATCACACAAGACTCTACAGACAAGCATTCAATTCATTCATGTTGCACCAATACAAATTAATTGTAAAGTGTCCAACTAAAATAAAGTGTGTCCATATTGATAACCATTCACCTGCTTCCAAGAGAATGAACACATTCTAAGTGTCACCTCACTGAAGGATGTATTTATTACATTTTAAAATAATTTAGAGGGATAATAGAACCCAACAAAAATAGAGAGTGTTCCTAAAATTTCATTCATAATTTAGAGGGGTACTTATGTCTTTAATTTTCTATAATTTTTCTTGAATAAAACTATATTTATGTATTTACGTGAAAGTCATATAGTTCTACAATCCTGAATAGTCAATAGGATTTCATAAATTATTTGTCTACAATCTATAGGTAAAAATTCTTATACTATGGTCGTGTTCGGTATGAAAGAAAATGTGTTTTTAGAAAAAATAAGTGAATTTTTTCTTATTTTCTATTATTTGATAAGTATTAAAAATAAATTGACCTAAAATAGATTGGATTTCCAATTTGCCTATAAAAATATGAATAAAATATGAATTGGATAAAAAAAATCCTAACCGACTCTTTTGGGTTATTAATGATACAAGTTAGGCTTTAATTTTAATAGCAATAGGAGTATAGTAGTCATCTTCATCTGCTGTATAGTTTCCCAATTCGTTTAAATTTTAATACTTTGTTATAGTGATCCTAGCTAACAAATCTTGGCTGTAAAATAGAAAGTTAATTAATTATAAAAAAATTCTATAATCGGATAAAATTACAAATTACATTTTAAAAAATGCAATTTATTTTGAAATTTAATTTTTCAAAATGCCACTTAAACTAATCGTTTTCCAGACAGTCAATTGTCTCAATTATAGCATAGAACACATGTATCTCACATTTTACATAATCAAAGTCTGGTACCTTGAAATAAAAAAAAAGTTTTGATTTACAAGAACTTCTCATTTAATAATATGAAACCTACTATAGATCAACTACTTTTGTGCTTCACATGTTTGACTCTATTTGTGGTGTTGGGCCAAAAACCTTTAATTGGTGTATTTGATATATATCGGCCAACTCGACTTGCTAACCTTTTGTATATATATCTCTTTTTATACACATAATTTGATAAGGAAATCACACATCACTAGTCATTTTCACAATGCTAAACAAACAATTATTTTCTTTGCTTCTCATTTGCATTGCGGTGGCCGTGGCCACTGCTGAGGATGTAACTCTCACGTGCAACATGGTGTATAGTAGCCTCGAACCATGTCTTGGTTACGTGTTAGGTGGTGGATTAAGCGTCCCATCAGAGTGTTGCAGTGGAATTAAATCTCTTCATAGATCTGCGCGTACCATAGCTGACCGTCAGAGTTTTTGTAGATGCATAAAAAGCGCTGGGTCAGACGCTACTGAAGCTCAAGTTAGCCGTGCTGCTAAACTCACTGGAATATGTAGAGCCAATGTTCTTTTTAAGATTAGTCCACATGTTGATTGCTCTAAGGTCAAATAAGAGACTTTTTTTTGTGAGATTGAATATGTTTGTGTTAGTGAGTGTGGGATCATATATAGTTTCACATTTTGTAAGCGTTGTTGTTTTAGAAATTAGTCAAATATTTGGCATTTGAATAAATAATCTGTGTCTTTTTGTTTTTGTTACTTTGAGATGAAAAGATTTTTTTTCAAACATATCTATTGTAGCAAAATGAGGTTTCAATCATTGTTAATCTTTTTGTTATTCATTTTTTAATAGTTCTATATATGTCTGTATTGGGCTATCTGTTAGAATATGAAGTGTACTATTTGTTAAAACAGAATGATCTCATTTTTTTAGGTATAAATTATAGGAATCACATATTATAAGTACTAAATAACATACTATTCCTTCTAATTTTCTATTTACCAAAAATCCCCTAAAAATGATGTTTGCGGGATACATAGCGTTGTGCACGGGATACATTAGGTTTGATACATTCCACATAGCGGGATACATAGCATTGTGCACGGGATACATAGCATTGGATACATTTCACATAGCGGGATACATAGCGTTGTGCACGGGATACATAGGTACATAAGGGATTTTTGAAAATTTTAAAATAAGTAGGGATAAATGGATATTAAGGTAAGTAAAGGAGTGTAGTTAAATAATTTATCCTTTCTTTAGTCTGTTTAAAAAAGATTGACCCTTTTCTTTTTTGGGGAAACTAAGCAAATATTCTATAAAATCAAAATAATTACAAATATATACTCCTTTACATTCATACCCATTAATAATAATTACACTATATACTCCCAACTAATTTCGCTTAACTGATACTAAATCAGTATCATATATTGTATTTGTCACGACCCGAGCCTACACCCTGGACGTGGCCGGCACTCGAGGACCATTGCTGGTCCCCAAGCGAACCCTCATCCTGGCTGACTACAAGCGGAAAACTGATTCAAGCATACAAAGCTTAAAAACTGAAATAAAAGTTCATAAAACTTAAATACAAACTTTAAGTCCAAAGAAAACTCTGTATAATAAAATATATACAACTCGCCTAAAAAAGGCAACTTTAGTCTTTAAAACATTTAATAAAATAAATGATACAGACTTCTCAACTATACTGACTATCTATGAAGCCTCTAACTGATAAAGATGGAAGTCGGGACAAGACCCACGACATCCTAACAACTGATATAACTGAAAGGTAAATGAAATCCTCCGAAAGCAAGGAGGCTCACCATAGCTAACTCGAACTCTCGGATGTATCAACGAAGCTCCTGTTGATGATCCTGAATACCTGTGTCTGCATCATGAAAAGATGCAGGCCAAATGGCTCAGTACGTGGAATGTACGAGCATGTAAGGGGAATTCTAAAACATAAACATAAGCTTGAAACTTGATAAAAAGGAAACATACTTGCCTGTTTTCAATCTTACTCAACTCAAGGAATACTCCAAACTACTCAAACTTACTCAACTCAGAAGTACTCAAGGATTAAGATACTCAACTCAGAAGTACTCAAGGATAAGATACTCAACTCAGAGATTAGATACTCAACTCAAGGATATGATATTCGACTCAAAGATATGATATTCGACTCTGGATACTCAACTCTGGATACTCAACTTTGAATACTCAACTAAATATGACTGAACTCATTTCAATATAAACAATTGCAATATAAAGAAACAAACTATTTAAAAACATGCTGTCAAATCTGTGTGTATGCAAGCATACAACATAACTCTGAAATGTATATAAAAATACAATAAACTGATGTATATAAAAATACAATAACTTCTGTGGGAGTTTCTCTAACCGACAACCATCACATAAGAGCTATAGTGATGATACAGCGATCTACCTCACGCTGCCAGCGCATCTTATACCCGGCCAAAGGTATAGAACCTGAACTACTAATGGATCCACTAGTCTATTTCGAAAAAGGTTCATCTAAAAAGTATGACCCTTTTCTACCCATGGTGGCTACATGGTTTATGGAGGCTGTGAGTTGTCTGAACTCTCCCCCATATCGGTGCTCAATACTATTCCCAAAAATATACTAGCTCTTATGTTTTAAAAAAACATACTTCTTTCTGCTGATTTGAGATAATTGCTCAAAAACTTAGCTCAAAGGCTATCTTGGAAATCTCAGTTTCCCTACTTGCTTCATTTAGAAAGTTATTACTCTTTTCTGAAAACTAGCCCGAAGGCCCTTTGGAAATCTCAGTTTCCGTTCTTATTTAAATGTGAAAACATTTATAAACTCTTTGGGAATACTTAGTCCCCATATACTATTGAAGAAAAGGACTTCAAACTTTACTCTTCACTCTTTACTGAACTCAAAACTTAAGTCTTAAAACAAAGGTAAAACATTTGTAAAAGACTTCTTGAAATGTGGTTCGTGTCGAATGATGGACATGAACGACTCAATGCAAGGTTTTCAATAACGACAGATAGAACTCAAATACTTGGAACTCAAGAACTTCAATAATACTACTCATTTCAAGAATGCTCAACTCAGAGGGTTCATGCGGAATTATGACCATGAACGACTCAACTCAAGGACTCAAAGATACTTCTCTTCTCAAGACTGCTCGACTTATAGGATTCATGCGAAATTATGGGCATGAACAATTCAACTCAAAGACTTTATGGGTTACATGTAATAGTCCCATGCTTAGAAATATAATCTCAAAGGGGATTAGGAACTCAAGACTTAGAACTTGAAGATACTACTCCTCTCAAAGATACTCAACTTCTGGAGTTCATGCGGAATTTATGGGCATGAACGACTTGACTCGTAGGTCTACATAACATTATGAAACTCGTGTATTTGACTCTTCTCATTCTCTGACTTACTTCCTCAAAACTTAGTTCAAATCGATAGTTGATCTCAAAGGATTCACAATTGAACTCAAAGGCTTTCTTGAACTCTACTCTTAACTCTCTCTTGAATTTGAATTATGAATTATGAATTATGAATTATGAATTATGAATTATGAATTATGAATTATCAATTCAAGAGTTATGATTCATGATATGAAGGATCTCAATAACAATATAGCTATTCGATAATTAGGAATATAACTTTTAAAAGAAACGTGAATTCAAGAACTCAAAATCAACTTATCTCAAGAATACTCAAATCTAGGGAAAGTTTCCTAGATTACTCTTTTACTGATCTGAAAGTAGATGTAGGGTGTGAGGACGAACTAGTCCAACACTATGATAGCCTTACATACCTAGAAGAACAAGATTCTTGAAGAATCTTGAAGAATCTTTAAGAATCTTGAAGAATCTTGAAAAATCTTGAAGAAGAACTTGATTAGAAGCCTTGAAACCCTAGCTTGAAGGTAAACAATCAAGAAGCCCTTTCTTGAGATTCTCGAGTTAGTTTGTTAAAATCTCTATAGCCAAAAATTATGATTTTCATGAGTGAAGATGAAAATCTTATTGTTTTGAGCTTTTTATTAGTCAAGAAATTCGTTGATGGTTTTCTTGGAGGTAAAAAGACAAAAACCGATTATTTTCAATATTTTCCCGTCGGCTAATTCGTAACAGCACTGTATAGGTTACTAAAATAGTCATAACTTTTTACTCAGATATTGGATTGACGTGAAATTAGTGGGGTTGGAAAGTAGATTCAATTACCTTTAATTGGATAGGTTATGGCTCACGTAACTCTTAATATTCTAAGAGATATGGTCGTTTAAAGTTGACCTAAGCAGAATCTTACTTCAAAACTTAATAAACTTCAAGAACACTTATCAAGAACTCATCAAGAACTTAAATCCATAAATTTCAAGAACGAAATTACGCTGAATAAATCATGATTGGCGTGTGGGTGAAAGAACCCAACACTATGGAAGCTTACATACCTCTTAGGGATCAAACCCATGGCGAAAATCCGCTACAACACGCAAGAATCTCGACGAACGCTTGATCCTCTCCTCTTTTCTCCTCTTCTCTCTTCTTTTCTCTTCTTGAACTCTCAACTAAAACCCTAGGCTAATTTTAGGATTATAAAACTGAACCTAATAGGATTATACCCTTAAAATATTACTAAAATCGAATTAAATCTGATTGGGTAAGGAAAAGACCAAAATACCCTTCTCTATTTTCGGCTAACCTTCCTTAACTGGACAGCCTATCTTCAAAAGACCATATCTCACTCATCCGACCTCGAAACATAGCAAACTTTGCGGCGTTGGAAAGATAATTCAAAGATCTTAGCCACGGTATCTGGTAGCACACCTAATTCATCCTGAGCTAGGAGTTATGGTAGTTTGAAGTCGACCCAAAACTCATACTTAAGCATAACTTGCAAAATTTCAGATTTTGCTATTTCCAATTTAATTCTTTTTGAAACTCAAGGTGCTACATCTAGTGACCTTAACACTTAAGAAATTTTAAACTCCTTGGTAAAATCTTACTCACTACGAAGAACGGTTCGAGTCTTAGTTCAAAAATTTTCTGGGGTGTTACAGTATTGGTATCATTAAGACTGATAATTTCGCTTAATTGATACTAAATCAATATATATATATATACTGTATTGAGATCATTAAGGTTTCTTGTTCAGAAATTACTCATTAGTTAATAATACTATAAAAGTATATATATATATATATATATATATATATATATATATATACTCTTATAGTATTATTAACTAATGAGTAATTTCTGAACAAGAAACCTTAATGATACCAAATATATATACACACTCTTATATAGGGGTGTGCAAAAATCGAACTGACCGATAAGCCGAATCGAAAAAACTGTAACTAGTTTATTGTTACTGGTTATTGGGTTAACGATTTTGTAATGATTTTATAAAAAAAATTATTGGGTTATCGGTTTGGTATTGGTTTTCAATATTGGGTTATTGGGTAAACCGATAACCTTACCCAATAACCCATTAAGACTATAGTAATTTACTACTTTTACTTATACATAAATATTATATATTAATCTCAATATCTTACTAGTTATGTCTTTGTCAT